CACGAAATATCCGATGCACTCAACCTGTAACTGTACCAGCAGTGACATTCTATGGCAGTCTTCGTACAGATTAAGCCGCGTGGCAAACCAAATCCTAGTTAGGTATACCAGCGTACGATGTATGCGACTCACAAGTGTGGTGGACCGGAATTCTATCCTTCAGTACCACCATGGGGTGCGACTGTACAGTTGCCCCAACGCGATCCGACAATCGCTTGAACATGCCCACTCTGGAACGGCTCTTCTATCTTTTCCATCGGATCTGTCGCGACTACAATATGTTCGAATGGACGCCCATAAGGTTCAGTTCAAACAGCATACGTCTACAACAAGCTTGCGGCCACACCTAAGGCAAATTTTTTGAGCCCTGGATTCAAGCCGTCAGAATCACCAGGAATTGTTACGCACGGTGTACCGCTAAAACACCAATATGCTAGTTTGTACCGGCAATTGATCGGTCGTCTTCGCGTATACATATCATACCCATTGTAAAATGACTGAGGTACACAAGCTTCACAAATCCGCTTGATGAGAACGCTACCATAACAACGAAATTCTGAACTAAAACCGGTCTACCATATGTCATTTGAACCTGGCCCGGTGTCGCTGCCGTATTGAAGGGTTATTCGACCGTGACGACGCTATGACGTTCCCAGACCCAACGGGCAGCTAGGCAGCAACGGTCTAGTAACTAAATCTATCAGATATAATCATTGAGGATTGGCGGGCAAAGCGCAAGTGTGGGCAATGTTACAAGAAAGGTGCGTGGATGTGAAACTTCAAATGTACAAATAAACCATCAGAAAAAAACGAGTATAAGCATACCTGACCATAGCATGACAGGGAACGCAATAAGACAAAATGTCTCAGTTATCTGGTAAAGCCACTTTCAATAAAGCCTACCAGATGGCTGTATTATTCGGCTTCCATCTGAGAACCCAACAGTCCTGAGTACGGTATGGACAAGCGTTGAAACATGATTAATTATGAGCTCAAAAATAAGTTTAAGTCCACCGAAGAATTTCTAAACAAATCCCGCCATGCGGTAAATATATAAAAGAAATTATGACGGAATAGAATGTGAGAGGACGTTTCGTCTTGACTGAGTCCGAAAAATCGGGCAATCACATGAAGGCGTGATACTGTTGGAAAATAGATGAGCTTTGGAAGAGCGGTAAATTATTCCCTTGGAATTATACAAACAGCGACAGAGGTCAACACAGCCCAATTTAGGGCATTCAACGAGAGTCTGGAACCGCCAGGGCTATAACCTATGCTACATTGGAAAGGACGCTCGGAACCAGGCAGATTACAGCTAGTCTGGCTGTTCATTACTAGAGAGCAGTTGAAAGGCCTTCCCTGAAAGAGAGTGAACCTTTTAAGGAACAATCATTTTGGGAAACGGTCTCTACTTGCTTCCTCTTCCCAGAAGGAGGGAGGTGTACGAAAAACTAACTTACAAGTATTTCGCACAAACTCAAATTTGACCATCTATGGGGAGAATTATGATGACATTACGAATATCCAACACAGGGTTATAGTTGGAGATGGGAGTAGCGAACACTTGATTGTCCTTAACTATTGGTTAATCTATTCGCTGTGGAGGCATCGTAATCTGACGAAACTAAGATTTACGGGCAACAAACAGGTCAATTTATCATCCACCGAGTAAAGAAACTCTCATCCTGGTCCACATCACCCTAGACACCCTAGGAGGAAAATATCAGGTCAAACAACGCTTAAGTTTGCTCGCCACAGTGGTGATGACTCCCTAATTACAGCAATAAAAATCAAACACCAGCGCTAAGTCCATGGCCCTGCAGCTATGGGCAAAAACGCACAAAAAACTAAGTGCACAAAGATGCGACACACACTTGTCTGTTTGAACGTATCGGACGACTTCACTTGGTGTCCAAGCTCAGTGAAAGTCCTGATATTCAAGCCTGAAAAGTCAGCCACGGATAAGACCGCATACTTGTCAATCAATCAATCGGCAATGGTGCAACTACTATTATGACTGAATATTGATTTGGGCTCAGTGAGACCAACGGAAGAACCGTTCCAAGCTTCCCTGGCAACCTCTGAGAAGTAAGCAGTTGTGCCACAGCAGTTAACCTAATAAGAACGGAACAAACAAAAATTCTCATCGAACACATTACACGCATCCTACGAGCATTTACGCACGAAACCAAAAATCATTGAAAACAGTCAAGTTTGTGGTGAAAGTGACACTTTTACAAATAAAACGGGAAAAGTGTTGTTTGCCATAATCGGTGCTCCTGTCCTAGAAAAGACGTCAAACATCGTAAGATCAGGAATTCTTTTTTTGTCATGCAGTCAAAAGATTATGACATAGAGGAGAAAATCTCTCGGCAAACCACACATCTTGATTTTTGGCTTTTTAGCCAGTTTACCTCATTCCCATGAGTGCCACATTTTTCAATCTTTATCATATTCGCCGGGAACAAATACTCATCACTTTAACCCAAGAACGGAAGTCGTGGCCAACAGATGTGCCACACCGACATATTGAAAACACTGAAAAAATAGGATACCCAAAAGGCGGTTGTTGATTGATTGTCGCTTTCCGTGTAACGGGGTAGGCTTAGATGTGAGGAAGTGCTTTAGAAATGTGCACGTACAGCAGAACACGTCCAATGTGGAACGAGGTGAACACAGGCTGACCGCACGTGAATAAAAGTGTGACGAGAACTATTGTTCACAAAAGCGAGTTAAACGTGTTGAGGAGGAAAAGACCAATGTTTATCCTAGTAGACTGACACAAGGGAGAGGCTAAACACTGACGTGGTTCATGGAAAACCGAAAGTTAACCGAAGTTGACCGTCGTCAAATTAGATGCATGCCCTACGTGATTTAGAGGCCAATGTCAAACGAATAGAATGCTAGGACATCTTATGTTACCTCCAATCTAAAGTAACTTCGTGAAAAACGGACAAATTCTATCACACTCGAGATGGGGATGTGACTAGGAGGGAACACCGGTTCATACAGAGTCGTGATATCGCATTGAAAAGCAGGGTTGAAGATATCCATCGAACGGATGTTGGTCTCAATGGACACAAGCATACCAAGTAGTCCCGGCGGCAGCAGTTCGCAAGACAGACCTGTGGACAACATATGTCCATTTATAATGCGTGCCGATATAGACAAACCGATGGACACAGGTCAACATGTTGATCAGCATGAAAAGTGTTGGAAAGGATTTTGTCCTTTGGGGCTTGAGAATTTAGGTTGCTTCTGGTGAAAGTGCTGGTAAAGGAAATTGTCCAGATAGTTGTTGATGTGCTCGCCCAGTTGGACAATCACATAATGAGTAAGCGCAACAACCACTCAGGAGACAACACATCATTTTCACTCTTAAGTTTTTTCTCTTACAAAGTGAACCAGACTTGGAACAGACTCTCAAAACGTATCCATAAAATCCTGGCACACACAACAGTCATGTTTTGGAGCATTATGGCTTCTACTGTGAATGTCCCTTTTTTCACTACACGACTGCCCAAAGGGAAACTGATAGGTGGAGCCTTTAACATACACGTAGACATAGCCAAAATCGAGCACAGCGTGACCACCAGGTTGATATGGTCCTCAGATTCTGCAGGTTCCTTTCCTGACAAAAGGGCAAGAAATTCGACGGTAGTAAAATCAATCGATGAGCCGATCATCCAGGAGCCTGCGCTCTTGGGCGTCATGTACAGGCAGAAGGTAACCGCGTCGTAGACTAGTTATGTATGGGTCAAAACTTCGGGTGCGATCAAGATAGTAAGTTAAACCTCTGGTTAATTTGCAAATAAGCGTACACCTCCAGTTCTGAAAAATTAGTAGGAGATAAAAATGTCTCTACCTGATGATTCCCGGAACAGACGAAACCGGTTGTGGATTGCCCGAGAGTTTTTTAATCAACCCTATACACACCATCTGGTCAAGAGAAATGCTTCGACATCTTAAATACCGTCCCGATTGAAACATGAGGCAACTTATGAGCCACGTGTTCAGTGGAAGATCGGTATAAACAAGACACTCGGCTGCTATTCAGTTGAGTCTTTCGTTGACATCAAGTTAATTTGCGAATGCTGTTATGGGAGTGGAACCGCTCGAATGGTATAGAATTCCACAATATAGAATCCGAAAAGTAACTCATATCAAGTTTGGACTGAATTGGACGCGGTCCCTGAAACAGACTGCCCCGTGACCTTCAGTGAACCACAAACTCATATATGAAGGCTTTTTTGAGGTGAGAAAGCTAAAACTTGTGGAACTGTGACATCAAAAGTCGAGGAGAAACAGTACAGCTAATAAGGGGGGGTTGCCCGCAGATGTTAATATCAGAAGGGTCTATACTAGGACGACAGATATGAGCAGCTAACCGGTTTAAGCCAGAAGGCACAATCGGCACAGAGGGACATATGGATGTTCATCTGAAGAGCTAGTAGTGAACACTGAAGGGAAAAAGATCAGCAATGTCCATATGAAGAAGTTAAAGACTAGACGATTACAGAAGGAATTTATGCGAAAAACCTCCCCCAAACAATTTTTCTGTTAACTGAGGCGTTGTGCCGATCCCATATACGTCATTAGCATTTATATACAGTGCAACTGTGCAGTATTTAAAAAGCGCAAGGTTTGTCGATAGAAGATAGGCTGGGGCATGCTGTTTCTTGTATGAACATACTCCTTTGTGAAAAACGATAACAACGCATTACTGCATTGTACCGTCAGGTGCACTTGAGCTTTGACTTTTTTTCATGCTGCCAGCTACCCGAGGTCTACAGCACCATCAAGCGCTCATAAAGTGTCATCCATTGTTCACAGCGAAAGAGAGTCAAAAGGCCATTTAGGGGAATGACTTGAAGATTAAATTGGAAGCTGAACGCACATCAGTTGCAACACAATACGAGGGTGTACAGTATTGGATCTTAGCTCACTGAGCTAAGGTCATGTGTAGTATGGGAACAAAAAGGATATAAATATCAACTCACCGTGACAGAGAAATCCGGGCTCCCCACCATTCGAGGTCAAATTGGAAGGGTTCAAATAAGGACAAAAGGTTTCCACTTGTGTACACCAATAGTCATGTGCACAAACAACTACAAGCCGATAGGTTGATTGTGCAGATCCCAGAGTTTGTGGTGTGTGGGAAAACCGGGGGACTGTAGAAGACGTATTGGACTGTGTCACCAACGGCGAATGTGTGGACGGGTCCGGCGACAGGTCGTAGCTGGATACCGTCTGTTCCAACAGAGAGGACTGACAGGATTCGGGTGGGAACAGAGGTCGCGCAGTGGGAGTCGAACCAAATCCCTCCATTGGGATGAACAGAGGAAATTCCACCGCGCACAGCCAATTTCTGTAGGCGGTCTGTGAAGACAGGCGAGGAATGGCAGCAAAACGATAGAAATTTGACCGAAATACAAGAGCTCCTTGTGAGTCGGATGGAGTCACTGTGGTGGCTGAGATACTAGACTAATGGAAACCCTCGTAGAAATCATGGGTCAACTGCCAAAAACACTAGAATGAAAGCAAAGTAGTACAATGGCTCAGATGCAAGGCACCGACTGAGAGACCCACGGTTCAGAATTCCATTGGCTTTTCGAATACTCTGCTCTAAGTTTGAGGTAACCTGGCACTCTCTCAGCGATTTTCCTGTCTTCGCGTTGTGCGACAGTTATACACCGACAAGACTCAACACCTGCGGAGCCTGATTAGTTTCGATATCCTATAGTGGATGATACCTCCACCCCTGGCTAATGAAAAGCGCATACCATAAGAAGGCGACGGGAACATTAGATCAACATAAAAAGGGAGAAAAATGAACATATAACACAGCCTAACAACGTCTGTCTAACACATTGTAGCAAGAAGTCAGTTAACTGGATACGTGTTCACTATGCATAGATCTTTCCTTTTACGTTCATACAATGTGAGAACTGCGATGCAATCCACAGTTGCCCGTTCAGAACGCGCGGTTGTTTGATGGATTGATAAACTGAGTGGGGAAGGTACCCGGACGTTTCTGTGGGTATTTTCGATTCCTAAGGACTAATCGTCCTAACTCATTACTTGAACGAAAGCTCATAGCGTCTCTTCACCCTCTTATATGGCTCTGAGTTATTCGGGGACTGCTTTTGTCGTGGACCTACGAGGTTGGCCTTTCTGTCATCCGAACATTTTCAACCTCCTAAGTTTTATCGACATTCGTTCTGAGGCAAACGTCCGATGGTCGTTGGTCGAGAATATTATTTGAAGGTCCGTCACGCCGTTCATTTCCTCACAAGGTGTTCCATCCAATTCGTCTCAAAACCTCCCTTGGACGTTACAAGTGAAACCTGTACAACGCACCGGGCTCATGCATCACTTTTTCTGTTCTGAAGAAGAAAGCACCTCCGCCACCAGGAAAAGACCGGAATTTATAAGGGTGTGACGATTTTTGTACCTCGGAACAGTCGGCCTTTACTGCAGGTTTCATTATGACACCCCAAGAGCAGCTCAGGCCAGGATGGCAAAGAGAAAACGGTCCAAAACACACGATCTTCCGCCCTTAAGACTTAGCACATGTACCGTATCTCGCTCCCCAGAATATTGCTGCTGTTGTATGTTGGAATCACTTTGATGCCTTGTGGTCAAGCTTTCATACCTATGTTTAGGCGCTTTACTATTATTCAAGCCTGCAAAAAATAGCTAAAAATCTCATGCCAAATCGGTCACCACATGGTGCTGCTAGCCCGGACCATTTACTTGGGTATAACGGCAGAACGAGTAAACGAGCCATCAGAAAGCGTCACAGACAACTGAATCGATCACAGTGTCCAGTCACAAGTAGGAACACTAGTAGAGAAAGTGGCGTCAGAAAATATTAGTCAATCCAGCCGTAGAAGCACTTTTCGTCGCCTATGGCGAGTACGAGGAATATTCGCATTGGAGCAACAAGCGAGATTTTGATCAGACGCTGCGTAGATCACGTATTCACACTCCGTTAGGCACTAGCGCACAATTGTGGCTTCAAAAGCGTGTTTGATTCTGTCGGCCGATCAGACAAATGACTCGTCATTTGTCTTGCTTAGTGGAATTTCAAGGTGGTTTTCGCCTCTCAGGGAATCTTATATGGAGCCAGCGTCTTATGGCTTTCTGAATCAATAAAATATCACGATTACCAAACAATGTGGCCGAAATTCGTTTTTCTGCTGCCGAACAACCTTGTCTACAGCATCTTCAGCGTGTCCGGCCCTGCGGGACACTTTCACTCAAATCCATTTTGTGCCCATCTGTCTTTAGCGACTTCGAAGTTCATAACAAAGACTGACAACATTTTTTACCTGGTGATGATGCACGCCACGTTGCTCAGCAAGGACCCTCTACTCCTCCCGTGAACATCAACTTATCCAGTATCTGCCCTGCATTCCTTACAACGTATACCCCCTTGTACTCTATCTCACCTATAGTTCCTTCTGGATCCATGTACTGGTCACTTCGGGCTTCCGTCCCATTATTTCCCTTCAGCGTCTATCGCATATGGGGCATCCTGAAATTGCTCACCAGAAAGCAATGGTCACATGCGCGACTATGCGGCCGAAGGTCGGAAGTAGCAACCTCGAAAAATGCATGTGCGATTTCAGACAACCTGACTGCAATTATTACAGATGTGCCATTTTTGATTCCTCAGTTCCCGACCCGGTAGGTTTCACCAGGCGTGTCTGGGTAGTGAATAAAATGAATAGTTTAATTGTCACACCAACACATCTGCTGTAAAAGATGCAGGCAAATATTGTGGCCAAAGCGAACTTTCTCAAACGAAAGAATCAAAAGTTGGCCGCCTGAGAGCCCACAAAAATTGGTTTTCCCTTATTTGCGCCTGCTCCTTTTCTCTCATTTAATCGGATTCTCACGAAGTGGCACCATTTTATTAGAGGAAGGTTGCAATCTTCGCATAGTTCTATTCATCAAACTACTTTATCCATTACATTCATTCAGTTTCAACTCATCCAAATGCAACTTGGGCTTGGACCTACCGTTACCGAACATTTCGATCGTTCCTACGCCATTTTTGTATTTCGGAGCGAGATGACTCAGTGGTTAGAGAGCCGATTTACTGACCGGAAGGTCCGTCGTTCGAACCCAACCTCGGCAACTCGACTTCCCCTATCTAGGCTTGGGCGATATGGCAGTATGCCAGCCCTCGCACATCCTTCAGGTGGCATGGCAGTTAGGCACCGAAAAGGTGTTACAGCTGAACGATTTCCCTTTGTATTTCATTGCGTGGAAAAGTCCCAAGTTATTCTCTTCCGAAGTAAGGTAGCCCATTTAGTCCCAGTAATTGTCGACCTATCCCCCTAAATCTCGATTCGCCAAGCTTAACGAGATTTGTTGTTAGCAGATCTTGTGAGGGTTCCAGGTAGGAAAAACTCGGCAGGAAAAAAAACGGTAGGAAAAACTCGCAAAATAGATTACTCGATAACCCACTAGTCCACATGCGAAAATTTGTACTCATTTAATGAAGAAAAAGCTGCAGTGTCAGGTATGTGCAGGGCATTTGATGGTGTTCAGCACAATTGTCCCGAAGCTAAGATTCCATCCTATGGTGGATGACTGGGACACAACCTAGACTGACAGTTTCCCAGACGGATAGTCAATAGCAGTACATATTGGTGGTACTCTAAGAAAACTCACCAGACGTCGATGCTGAAGTGCCCCAAGCTTTCACATCCTCACAAACCTTGTTATACTCTAAATTAAAGTCGTGCTGCGCGCTCTGTACCCTTCCTTATCCGTACTCCGGCAGATACTACAGCTACACACTGCTCGTTTCCTTGTTCTTCACAACCAATCAGTTAACCCACTGCTTTCAACAGCACGGTCATGTCCAACGTTTTGCAATGGGGATCACACAACCCATTCAAAACCCCTGTATCCATTTACCTTAGATCAATTACTCTCGTTCATTCAGGTTCATTCGATCCAGTCCTTCCAATGTTTCTTGTGTCTTATCTGGATCTGTCTTTCTCTAGTAGTCGTGCCTGGTATGCTCACTTAAGCTGTTGGCTTTGAGGGTCTCTAAAATAACGTTTTCTTTTTCCGTCGTCACATTTCACACTAATTCCTTACATAATTACCCATGAATAGGTCATAGTTCTAATAGGTTTGGACAGTGCGTGCACCAAATTGGACAACTAAATGTCACGTACCACCTGTTACGAGATAGAACAGTACGAATAAAATGAAACCGGTAGTGCTAACAAATAGGAAAAAACACCAAATATGCGGGCACCGGCAACTGCGAAACAGGACACACGTGACGAACCCAAATGTTGGCAGGTGTATGCTGTGCATTGGTTTCTAGTGCCTATAAGCCCACCACTACCAACTGAATAGTTAGATTAGTCTAGAACCGGGGCAGTAACTGTGCTAGTAATAGTGGCACAGCAATGCATTCAAGTCTGTACAAACACGTAGGTAGCAACAAGACATCGAAATGTTAATGAGTGAGCTTAACCATCTACCATAGCGTACAGCTATGGCCATCCTGGTCCGAGCTGCATTCACTTTCGTGTAAGGATGTTTCTTGAAAGAATAAGCAGTACTGTACAAAGCCAAGCAATAAGGTTTGCGGTAGTTTTCGCGAGAAAATTCCAAGGTTAATCTGAGTCATGTGAACCAAGACCTCCTCACTGCAAGATGGCCCCAATTGATAGACATGGCAAGCCCTTACTCTTCACTCTTTATCGCACCTATGGGTTTTATCAGACGGGTCACCAAGGGTTTTCCGCCTTCTCTGAAGAATGCTGGATACGGACCATCCGGTCCTGGTGCCCTCTCAAGTTAAGGCATGGGGAATTTGTATTGTGTTTCCATTCCGCAGGGCACAAAATTTACTGGCCGGAAGGTCCGTGGTTCGAACCAGACCTCTGCATCTCGACTGCTCCTGTCTAGGCTCGGGCAACCTGACAGTGCCCTGGCCCTCGTGCTTCATTCAGGTACCGGAAGCTGAACGACTTTCAGATGAGTAAGGTCGAGCTGCATCAGATGGTTTTCGGGAAAAAAACTCGCCCCCCAGTAGATCCAATCCCATAGGTTAAACTGATTCGACCATGTAGTTCGTGTATCAGAGGACCGTTTACTTCATAAAGGCCTAGTCATCTGGCATTGCATTGAACGGATACAACCTAGGCCAGCTCATGACTTGGGGAATAAGAATGGAAGCTATTACCAGTCGCGTTGGACCACTCAACATCAATGAAGCGATTGCGTCATCGCCCTCAACGTGTGACTATAACCCCCCTATTCTCCGTATCCTCGGTGCAGTCAGTGTAATTATGTACAAGGTTTGCGGCTGAAGAACTGACCGGACTGACTGACATTACAACAAATGTCGACGTAACGATAGTATGCGGTAGGAGCTCCGATTAATCGGTCAAACCTGCGGAAAGCGGAAACTTATAAGCTGGGTGGGTTGAAA